AAATAGATAGTGAAAAAATGCTGAAGAAATCTAGAAAATAAATGACTCACCTGTCTAGGAAGATATCTGGCAGTGGAGGGTATGTGCGCATGTCAGGGACCCTCTCATGCACTATGACCATGACAAAGGATGTGAACCCAAACACAAACACCACGTAGATGGAGCTAAGCACAGTCTTCCAGTACTCTGGATCCAGACGCCTCGTCTGCTGCTTGTACTTTCCATTGGTGTACTGGTGATACTCCTCTCCCACCGGTGCTGTGTCAGTGCTGTCACAGTCTCTGCTCGGGTCTCCGTTACACAGCCAATCCAAACTTCCCCCAGCGCCTGTAGGAGAGTGGCCATCGAAGGGAAGGCCGAGCTCCTCCAGCACGTCCATGTTCTGTTTCTGAAGTTTGCGGATCGCCACCATTAGCCGCTTGATGTCCCCCAGCACCTTGAGCTCCAGAGGCTGCGCGCGGAGGTCATACTCGCTGAGGGCGAGCAGACTGGTGCCGTCCAGTCGGTGCTTGTTGCACAGCAGGTCCACATAGTCACAGAAGCCCTCTTCCTTCAGCCACTTGGCGACGTGTTTGGGCGTCCAGCGACGGACACTCAGTTGGGTCATTTCCTCCTCGCTCTGAGGGCTGGAGGAAAACACGTCAAAACTTTAAGTGTGACTCAAACAACTAAGCTCCCCTTTACTGTTAACACCAGTTCCTTCTAACTAACAAAGTAATCTTGAGGAGTCGACACTATAAGCACCACTTCATTTCCATTGAGTCAGCAATATGAACTCCAAACAAACCCTGCAGGACTTCAACACAGACAGAAAGTAACATATATGATAATCAACGTCGCTCACAGGCAGCAGCCACATCCTGAGCAAATACAAGAGGCAGTGTCAACAGTGCCAAGAATTGTAAGATCACACACACCCTAAAAATGTAGGTGAAAGGCAGATACACTCCCCAGAGGAAAGAGTGGCTTCTGTCATAGATCATGACTTTTCAAATATGATCCCAACCTGTTCTGGGCTGATCAGTCCTCCACACTGAGCAGAAGAATCCCTGTTAATCAGCCCCGGTCTCTAGAGTCTGTCCCCTCTGTTTACCATGACATTCCCACAGTGTCAGCATGTCTGTATGATGAGCACTGACTTGGTTTAATGACACTGTGGTGTTTGTGGTTTGCACAACAGCTGTTCTGTGTCGTCCTACAGTCAACCACACCATTGTCTGAACACTAAATTGGGCCCTGGAGCTAATCTACCGCTAATGTGTTTCAGCATCTTGTAAAACAACGAGTACCATGTGCCAGGTTAGCATTACACGTGCAACCACATTCATTCCTGAGGTTACACAAGCACACGAGAGCATCCTCCACGCGCTGGACCACAACAACACAACCCCGCGGGGCGGCTGACGCTAACTAGCTAACTAGCATGCCCGCTTGTTAGCTTCATGGGTGCGTGCGTCTGACGCTCACTCACCCGGACAGAGAAAGGGACAGAGGAGGACACGGGGGACGTCTCTTCTTCAGCTAGCTAGCTGAACGGCATCTCACGGGAGTCTGGAGACGTGTTAGCCTTTGCTGCGACGGCTTGTTGGGGCTCAGGACGCCCTGACTCCGCGCTGGTTAGCATGTTGTCAACAAGCACACGCGGTAATGTTTAGCATAGCTGCGCACGTAGAATTAGCCCCACGGAGGTTAGCTCAATGGCGCTACCTGACCGACAGCGACCCCAGCTGGTGGGCACGCAGAACCGCAGCGTCTTTAACCACATTATGTTTACTATGAAATGCTGTTGATTCTTTGTGCACTTAAAGGGATAGTTCACTGAAAAATTAAAATTCACTCAACATCTACTCACCACTATGTGATGGAGTTGGTGGATGAAAGTGTTGGAGTCCACGGAACACGTTTGGAGTTTCAGGGGTAATTAGCGTTGCAGCCAAATCCAATATAATTCAAGTCAATGGTGACCACTTCTTCAAATGGAAACAACAATAGAAAAAAACATCAAATGCCTCCATACTGCTCCTGTGATGTCTTCCAAGTGTTCTTAAGTCCCAACATTCAAATTTGACTCAAAACAGCGTCTATCCCTTTAAAGGCCACACAATGACAAATAGCAGTGACACCTTCACTGTACTTAATAAAGATTGAAATGTGTGAGGTTGATTAACATTTAGAATATAGGTCAGTGTTTTAATTTTAGACCAGCAGCAGCTGTCCTTGTCAGTGCCAGCATGGTTGTAGTAAAGCCTCAACAGAGTTTAAAATGTTTAAATGAGGAGTTTCAGAGAAGCCGGTTATTACAACAGAGAGTAGATGGAGTCAATGATGAATAACCCTCAGGATGATATCACAGTTTTCCCTTGTCTGAAAGATTTAGTGAAGGTTTTGTACGGAGGAAAAAGGTTTGGCAATCGCGTGGATGAAGTTTGGCCTAACTTGTTCATTGGCGACATGTAAGTCCAGCAAACCACTGTGTTCCTTCACTGCTCATAAAGTAATGAGTTTGTGAACATAAACCCTGTTTCCTTTTTGCGCAGGTCAGTGGCCAACGATCGCTACAGTCTGTGGAAGCTGGGAATCACTCATGTTGTGAACGCAGCTCACGGGAGGATGTACTGTCAGGGGAGCCATGACTTCTACGGATCCTCTGTGGATTATTATGGAGTGCCTGCAGATGACTCACCGTCCTTTGACCTCTCTCGCTATTTCTTTCCCTCTGCTGATTATATTCAGGATGCACTCAACACGACTGGCGGTAATGATCCCATCATGTTTGTAATGTTCGGGCCTTTCTGCAAGACCATCTCTCACCATGTGTGTAACCCATCATTCATGTCACGCGGCTTCTAATCTCATTCTCCTCATCCAGCTAGGGTTTTTGTCCACTGTGCAGTTGGAGTCAGCAGGTCTGCCTCCCTCGTCCTGGCCTACCTAATGATCCACCACCGCTACACCCTGCTAGAGGCCATCAATAAGGTCAAAGAGCGCAGGTGGATTTTCCCGAACACAGGATTCCTCAAACAGCTTCGTGCTTTGGATGTAAAACTGCGTAAAACTAACACAGGAGGGAGATAATAATGATTTGTTTTGATATTTCACAAATATCAAAACAAATCATTATTCTTACAGAGTTGCCTCAGATGTTTTCATGCAAGTGAAGGATTCAGTGTCTGCCAGTGGAGGGAGATACCGTACTTAAAATACTGAATGGTATTGAATCAGATGTATCCTTATATTAATAGATCAATGTAATCAACCTCAGGCAGAATCAATTTTAAGGCTGAATATGAGTCAGGATGACCTTTGTATCATGTTGAAGAAAAATCACATCCAATACCTCGTAGGTCAGTAATAACCCAGGAGGTGTATGAATTTTAAAACAGTGTGTCTCTGTGTGTGTGTGTGTGTGTGTGTGTGTG